TAATGCAAAGAAGATTAAAGAATTTTCACACAATCTCTCCGAATATTATCAATCAAAACACCAAACAAATTTTCATCATAAGCAGAGCACCCTTCAAGGAATAAATCCCACGCAAGGAGTTTTATGCTCACTTCCTTTAAGGATTGGTAAGATTCTCAAGTGGAACAATTATTCACCATACTAAGCTCGCTCGAGTGTAACGAGTATCAAAGCTATAAACGATTTACATAAAAAAAGCCCCTCGAATTCCTCAAAAAAATGCGCTCAGAATATCCTCAATGATGAATGAGATTTTAACAGCATTTCCAGTTTTTGTTTTGTTTTGTTTTATAACATTTTTGCCATTATGTATTAAATAATATTTCTTTCTTCTTGTTCCATTCTCTTCTGATTATTATCAAAAAAATGTTTTTATTTTTCCTTTTTTTTACTATTACACGATTTTGCTTTTCCTTTCTCGCAATAATCATAATAAAAGGTAGAAATCGGAAACGTTCATGACGTGAATTAAGCCTTAATCTCTCTCCAACTCTTTCTCTCGGATTTGGTTTTTTTTAAATATAAAATATGAAAATTATCATTTGTTCTCTAATTACAAAAAATTACAGTGTTGAGGGAAATGAAAGTTCTTTGTCATGGAAAATAATTTTTTTTCTGTCCTTATTGTTTTGTTACTTCTGCTGTCCTTCTCATCTGAACCCTATCTCATTAATATACATATATATACAAAACTACTCATTATGTATATAAAAGTGAGCCTTAGCTTTCGTACGGGACAGAAAAGCGAAAAAGCATGTTTGTAAAAGCAACTTTGACATATTAAAATATACTCTTGAGAGAAAGAGCCGCTCGGTATGAAACACAAAATGAAATGGAGGAGAATAATACAAATTTTTGTTCTGTATGCTTGGATATACACGCATATATGATACTCCTCTAAGTGTATAATAATGATAATTGTTTAATTCGATTTAGCTTTAGCCAACCTCAATGTTATATCTCTCTTGCTACATCTGGGTAATGACATGCTTAAATTTAAAAGGAATATTGTGAAACTTTTTGTGTGGGTTGGGTGGACTTTTGAGGATTGTTTTGAGATTTGCTTGAGTCAGGGTATTAGGAGAATAATTCGTTGGTTAGGCTGGCTATTGTTGTTGAGTGTTTTTGTTTAGATTTTGAATTTTTTGAAGGTTCTGGAGTTTTGGAATTCGTGTCTATATTAATATGGCATAGCTTTCATGGGTTCGAAACCTTAATAATCAAATTTTCTCATTTAGCACTTTTTGATTCATTTGTATTGGTAATGAAGTTTACATTCGTGCCTTGTTCTTGAAGTCACTTTCATGGTTTATAAGTTTTTATATTTTTAGGGGTTATTAGGGGTTAAACCCTATCATTAAGATTTAAATAAGCGATTTCCAACTTTGCGCTGCATTAATTAAGCTCCCAAGGGCTAGAAACGATGTTATTCCTTCAACAAATAACAACAATATGGCCAACCAACTTCCAGTCAACAGAATTTCGAAGAGTTTGGATAAATTTCGATCCCAAATCCTCACTCACAATGATTCAGCATAAAATTACATTTAAATTTAGGTGCTTAAGTAAATGTTTAACATTTTCAACATAGACAATGTCCTTGGATGAAGAAGAACAAACCATAGAGATTTCGGTTGTAATCCTTTAAATGGTCCACATCTCTTTTTACTTACTGTGTGTGTGCACGATGAGTAATTGTCCAATTGAATTAAAATTTGTGTAAAGAAAATACAGCAAACATATGAAGAAAGATGTAGGAACATATTTTGTCTATTTATAGAAATATTGTGCCTGAAATCTAGGGTATGAATTAATTTAATTGAATAAATTTCTTCATGTTTTTTTTGTGGATGGTAAGTGACTGACTTTTTGGTCTTGTTTGCTTATTCATATTGAAATGTTTCGATGTACCGAACATGTTTGTTCTTTAAATGAATCAAGCAAATGAATAATTTCAATTATAAATGTTGAAAGAGTTTAAAGAATGGAAACTCTGTTTTAGACCTAAGAAGCTATTCGTATTCCTTTAGTTTGTCTATAGGAGGAATCTAGTTGCAAGCTTATTTGTAATTTTGATCTGTTATTCCACATTTTACACTAAAAGGAAGGTTTGAAAATTCAGATTTTTAATAAACTTCATTTGTAAATGTTTCCTAACAGCAGCTCATATTATGAGATCATTCAATAAGTCATGAACCATAAAGTTGTAATAACTTTTTGTGTTACTACAAAAGATGTTCAAATGAAATAGTACGAATGCGTCTGTACTATTTAAAACTTCATGTGTTCAACCAATTTATTAGATTCAGGCATTTGACAAAAACATTGTGTCCTTAGTCATCGAAGTTGCCATGTCAGAGCTTTTAACTTTTTCTTCCTATCAATAAAGTTTCATAAAAATGTGAATCAGATTTTAAATTTTTTCATGAAGTTCAAATCCAATATTTACCAAACATTCATATTATGTCTCTTTGCTTCATTTCAATTTCAATGCAGAAATGACTTCAATCAGAAAAAGCCCACATTCTGATATTTTCCACCTAAAATGTTCAATTACTCAAATGATGCTTTCTCGGAAATGATTTTCATCAACCAAATGAGTGCGTAATGATTTCTTTAATTATCCGAATTCATTTCCTAATAAATGTCACGTGCCACAAACATAAAATGTCCTTTTTCATCTATTTCTGTACTCGAAAGTTTCAATTCTGTTTAAATTAGTAAATAATGAATGACATTTTGAATTAATTCGTTTATTAAAAATAAATAAACTGTGAGAAATATTAGCTTTGATTGCCCAAAGAATGTTTGTTTATGGGATATAGTCACAACATAAAACTACATTTAGAAGCATGCGATTTATGGCAATGACAATGTTCAGTGCAAGACCTTAAATTGCACTTTAAACTACCTATCCGAGGTATACATGCACTCCCTTTAATGTCATCAGTTATTCGATTCACGTTATTGTGAGTTGAGCATGATAAGATATTCATTCGAGTCTATAGTTGTTGAATTTTAATTTTTAATGTAACTTATAGTAGTAGCAGCAGCAACGGCACAAGCTCCTGAGCGAAATTGTATTTTTTTTTCTCTCGACTCCTGGAGATAGGGAGTAAAATTAATGCTGTTTTTTTTCCACTGACGCTTTAGCTGTATAACATAAAAAGTCAGCTATAATTTTTATGTACACATTTACTCTTTCATGCTCAAAAATGCGATGAATATATCCATCGGGATGATGCTGTAACCAACCATCCATTTTTTACCATTTACCATTTTACGTCAGTTAGTATATAATGTAAGTAGATGTACATCAGTCAGTGCTTAAATTTTTTCCCATGTTTATTGTTTTGGGAAGGAAGTTTACTTGGAATTTGAATTTTGTCTGATGGTCTGTTTTGACAGAATTAAAATAATCTTTTGAAAATATCTGATGGATTTGAAATTTGTTTTTGAGGTTTTTTAAACCTTAAGGGTCTTTGTATGAATTATAGCATTATGCGAGAAGCTATAGTGTTTTAATGTTTAATTCTGTCTTGACTGGATGTCGAATTCTTACAAGCGGTGAGTCCTAAACCTTAGCTCAGATTTTTTTCACTAAGTTTTGCACCTTGCAATTCAGTTCTGCACCTTTCAACACAATTTCGTATCTTTGAACTCAATGTCGCATCTTTTGAATCAATTTTGCATCTTTTTGACTCAACTTCGGATCTTTTGACTCATTTCGCATCTCTTGACTCAATTTCGCATCTTTTGACTCATTTTCGCACCTTTGGACTCAAATAAGCATATTTGAACTTAATAATAGATATTCGAACTTAATTTTGCATCTTTGAACTCTATTTAGCATCTTTTGACATAATTTAGCAAATTTTGACTTAATTTCGCATCTTTTTGACTCAATTTTGCATCTTTTTGATTCAATTTTGCATTTTTTTGACTTAATTTTGGATCTTTTTGATTCAATTTTGCATCTTTTTGACTTAATTTTGGATCTTTTGACTCAATTTCGCATCTTTTGACTCAATGTTGGATCTTTGAACTCAATTCTGCATCTTTTGACTCAATATTAAATCTTTGACTGAATTTTTCATTAAATCAAATCAATTCAGCTAATATAATCCATATTAATGAATTCTCAGCACCAGATAATTTAAATTTACCAGCAACAATTCTCCAAGATTTTAAAATTTTGACAATTACATTAAAACAACCTCAAAAAATGTTCTGTTGTCAACCCAAAATGAATTCCAATAAGATTCTTTCGAGAATTCTCTTAGCTTGTAGATGTCTTTGTTCCTTTTTACACCTCCCCACCCCCAAGATGTAATAATTTGGTATCTTTTCCACTCCAATTTTCAAGGACATGTCAACAGACATCTTGCTATCAATCATTAGCATAAACATGAGGTTGTTTGTGTTGAATTTTCATGAAATTCTTATTGGAATCTGTTCGACAAAAAAGAAAATAAAATCTACAAAATCTTCGAAAACCATAAAATATCCACATCAGTCACGACAAAATAAATGCGCCATCATAACTCATCCAAAAAAAATTTCTTCTTTACCGTTTCACTTTTCACCGTTACCCAGAATGAATATTCGATATGTTATGTATACATCTAATGTAATATTTTAAGCTCTGAAAAACATACATAAACGTGGGAGATTTTTTTTTTGTTATTTATGTAAACATCATGATGAAGATGACTGGCAGCATATAGAGGATTCTTTTTTAGAATCCTCGCTGTCGCGCTTCTTATTTGTTCAGCTCCATTTTCAAGCTATTAATTAAGTACAATGCCTATCTCAATGATGACGATGAAAAATTCTGAAAATTAAATTGTTTTACCGTCGGTCGAGTGACTTTAAAAAAAAAAATCAATTATCATTATTAATTTATTTTTAACGGACTTGTTTTTCAATCGGTGGATGGGCGTTATGATAAAAAAATATCCACAGTGAGCAAATCCCATGCACAGAAAGAGAAGAAAAAATTGAAATATAAAAAAATATTTCTCTTTTATCCGTATGTCTGATATTCAGTCTCGTATGTGATGTGAAGAAAAAAAATGAGAGACAGAAGCGCTCACTATTGATTGTAATTTACAATTTATCTCTATCTTGGTGCACAATATTGTGTGTTTGTAGGGTGAAAAAGCTTTAAACGTGAATCAGTCGAACAATTTGTCATAAAAAAAATAATTTTTTATTTTGTAAATAAGACATAATTTAATGAATCTCTAAATATTACGACTAAGCACATTAACAATGATATTTCAACGTCATAAGCTTCTCAGTTCAAGTCAGCTACGTAAATTAGCAGAGCATAAATATGCAGTAACATCGAGTAGTTTAATCGAACCATATTTACAGGTAGGAATTGAGTAACTTTGACTTGTTCAAAATTTAATTAGTGTTGTAAGGTTACGGAAATGTCATTGTCATAATTAATTCATTATAGCCGTATTGGAATTGGCTCGTACTACAATTACCGCTATGGATTGCACCGAATTTAATAACAATTATTGGACTTTTAATAAACATTCTGACATCATTAGCATTAATTTATTATAATCCTGATGGAAAGGACACAAATTCACCTCCACGATGGACATACTTGCTATGTGCACTTGGTTTATTCGCATATCAATCGCTTGACGCAATAGGTGAGAATTTTTATCGAAAATAAATCATCTATGCGGACTTTCTCTTCATTTAATTTTTTTTTTATTCCATACATCCAATTTTTTTTTCTTCTTCCGCATCATCGTCTGCGTCTGTCTCTCTATAATTTTTTTTTCTCATTTTCTTTTTTTTTTGCATAAACACAAAAATGTTGTTGATGAGATTAGATGGCAAGCAAGCGAGACGAACAGGAACGTCTAGTCCATTAGGTGAATTATTTGATCATGGATGTGATAGCATATCAACGGTGTTTATCACTCTATCAACATGTTCAGCGATTCAATACGGCAGCTTTCCGAAAATTATGTTTATCGAAGTGTTTGCCGTTTTTGCTCTATTTTATTGTTCACATTGGCAAGCGTACATCAGTGGAACACTTCATTTCGGGAAGATTGATGTGACAGAGGCTCATTATAGTGTGATAGCTGTTCACATTATGACATTCTTTTTTGGACCGAAAATATGGTCGATAAAAATTTTCGGACAGATTGAATTGTGGTATCTTATTATAGCAATGACAGTTCTGACAGGATCTCTTGTTATAAGTGATTTTGTTGCCACAATTCGTCGTGGTGGAAGTGGAAAGAATGGATCAACTGTCGCTGGAACAAGTATAATAGCACCAATCTTACCATTTCTATTCGTTATCGTACCCTCATACATAATCGCTGTGAAATCGAAATCAGGAATTTATGACTCTCATCCGATGCTTTATTTGATGACCTTTGGAATTCTTTTTGCCAAAATCACCAATAAACTCGTTATTGCGCATCTCTCAAAGAGTGAAATGGACTATTTTGATTCCGGCATGTGGGGACCATTTATATTATTTCTCAATCAATATTTCAATGAATTCATACCCGAATATCATTTGGTATGGATAGCCTTCATTTGGTGTACTTTAGATCTGGCATGGTATTGCTCGAATGTCTGTTTGGATATGTGTGAATATATGAATATCAAACTATTTACCATCCCATACAATCCACCCAAAACAGCTGCTAATGGTAAATAAACTCGTTTTTTATCTCGCATCATACACAACTTCTTTACATCACGTATTGGACAATCCAACTGTAATAGCTTGAATCATCATGATAAGTAGTTGCTCATTATTTTTATTATTTTATTCATTATTATTTATTTTATATACTTACAATAGTCACCGAAGGATTCAAAAACTCAATTTAAATTTGAAATAGAGGAAAAGTCTCATAATAAATTAAACTTACAGTGCAGTAAGCTTGCATTCACTACAAACTATAAATAGAGCTCCCGAGTGGCACATTTTCAAATTATTGAGACTTGTGATCGTGATCTAATAATAAAAGTTTTACTAATGTGATTTTGTGGATGCAGTTATATCCAGAGAAAGAGGACTGTGATCGACTGTTTGGTATGACCAGGGTAAACTCTTCCATTATGTCTTAGTATGTTAATGTTCTCAAGTACAGGACACATTAGGGTAAAGCTTAGTTCAGTTGTTCTCAAGCTGTGTACCACGACACCTCTAGTATCGATGAATTCACAGGATTGCAGCAAGCTTCAAATGTCTGAGAAATAAAAGGATATACCAAGCAGCAAGGTCACATTATTCAGTTAAAGAATTAGCACTCTGGATCAAAAAGGACTTTTATCTATTCTTGCCATCCAAATACTTTAACCAAACGTCTGCCTTTCTTGCCAATTTTTACAGAAACACTTTTAAAAAGATCTGATCCATTTAAGTAAAAATCAAGCTTCAATCAAAGTTTAAATCTACTAATCTTACCACATAAATAGTTACCAAATCAAAGCTTACAGAATCTCAAACGTATATCAAAAAATCTGCGATATTTTCAATTCCAACATCCAGATCATGCAACAGTCGCATGACTCCAACAATCGTAATGTGCTACTCGTGAGAATTTATCCACTCTTTTTGCAATGCAAGTAAATTTGCGGGAAAACAATCGAAATGGAAAATTAAAGGAACTTAATGTTGCTTGTTGCTTGTGAATGTACTTTATGCCTTATTGTGAATTAATAGATGATAAATGTTTAATTTATTTTTGTGAAAAAAATCGTCCGATGGGTGTAATTAGCGCTGAATATTCAAATTCTAATTGAAATACAAAAATATTAATTAATGTATTTTATTTACGATAGTTGTATTGACAAAAATCGCAATTTGTGGTATTTTTGAAGCTAATTAAATAATTAAAAACTAAATTTAAATATCTATAATTATTATTGTATTTTCTATTTTTTTCTTCTATATTATACAGTGAAAAATAAAATTGGTTTGGGAATTAATAGATCAAAAAATTATTTTAGTATTAAAAAGGTGTCTATTGCTGTTGATGTATTTATATGAGATAGTATTTTATGCTATTCTGCCAACCAGAGATTGAAATTTTTTGTATTAAAGCATCATGAAATTCCGTAAATATTTTCATATAGTGTGAAATTAAGTTTGGGATTCTAAATGTGAACGACTAAGAATCAGAATTTTGAGATATAAAATCAAATTATGGTTTCATAGCTGAATACTTATGGTAATAAATCATACTTACTATAAATTTCAATTCTTATAGGTTTTAAAAGTTTCAAGTTTAGGTTTTTGATATTTTGAATTTAAACGGTTTTTAAAATTTTAAACTTTAAGAGTTTTTCAAAATTGAATTCTAATGGTTTTTAAATTTCGAATTTTAATTTTAACAAAATCCCAAGATTTAATTGTATTTAAAATTTCAAAATTAAAAGGATCTTCTAATATCAAAATTGCATGATTTTCAAAATTTCAAAATTAAACGATTTTCAGAATTCAAAATTAAAAGTTTTTAAAGTTTTCAAATGCCTACGGATTCAAACTTTAACGATTTATAAAATTTGAATATTAACAGTGTTCAAATTGATCGATTTATAAAAATTTCAATTTCTTTTGAGATAAAAGTTTAAGTATTTCAACAATTAAAATTAAAAGCCATTAAAAATCAATGAAATTGTTCGATTTCATTCTAATTTCAGCCGAGATTTTAAAAAACTTTAATTTAAAGTTTAACTGATTATTAAAGTGAAATTGAATCAAAGGATAAACTTTAAGGTTTCCATCAAGTCATAGTGAATTATTTAATTCAGTTTTCTCGTAAAAAATGGTCGTATAATCCTTTTAAAATGGATGGTAAATGAGGAAAAATATTTTAGGAATTTCTGATATTCATTATACGAAGAAAAAAGAAGAAAAATTCTCATTCAGTTGGTAATTATTCAAACTATCCCACTAAAACATGGAAGGAATTAGCTTGTAAACAATTTAAAGACTTGACTGCATAAAATAATATTTTTGATACAATCAGAATTATTGCTGCTTAATATTTTATGCTATGAACGAGATCAGATTAAAATAAATTACATTATCTCTTTTTTGCATCGCATGCAGGGGGTTGAAGTTTATCGTTGTGAATGAGGAAATTAACAAATTAATTTGTAAATTAAAATGCGGAAAATTGCAAAGAATTTTCATGTGGATGTTACATGTGATGATGGAAAATTAAATTTCTGTACAGATTTTTTATTATTGAAATTTTTTACATGAATATTAAAAAATTCCATCGACTGACCAATCACCCCCTCCTGCAGATAGGTGTATCAATATGAATATTAATTTCTTATAATTGGATTGATGTCTATCAGACATGGGGCGAGCGTAAAAAATTGTAAATTTAACGAATTCATTAATAATTCTTTGTCACCATTGCGATATAAATATCAGATGAGAAATGGCAATAATAAAAATTACAATAATAATTTCCAAATTCAATCTCGTTGCTTTTTTTTTGTTCATGAAAATTAATTTCAGATTATAATAATTAAGAGGCATGTAATGATTTTTTAGTGCTCTTTTCCTTCTTTGTTACTGATCCTGTGATAAAATATTTGCTCAGCACACCCTCATGAAAATGTTTATATCTACGTACCTTATGGCTTTATGAGGAGCAATTCTTTAAATAAGAATAAGAAAGCACTCATCGTTATTAAAAGCAATTTTGAGAACAGAAAGAGAGAAAAAGGGTCGACCATTATGCATTATGGCACTTCCATATTTTTTCTGTCGCAATTCTTTTGAAGAATAATCGCTAATGTGCTCGTTTTGTCTCTCCTTAAGTTACTGGTATCTAAATTAAGATACTGAGGCAATATGTTGGTGTCAGTTGCTATTTATGCTGTATAAAAGTGGATAATTTAAGGGTTTGGACTATGTCTAACCTAGAAAAAAATAACGTTGAGATTAATAGGTTTTTAAGAGTTTGAACTGCTTCATCCATTCCAACAGATTGATACCCTTAATAACTTACTAATCTTCACTTTCATTGTTTTTCTAGGTTAGAAATGGATCTGCTGAAATGGATGAAGCAGGTCATACCCTAGCATAATTATAATCAACTAAGTTCAACCTAGGGTTAGGGTATGGCCAACCTTAGATTTTTTCTTTGTTAACTTGAATCATCCTCTTGTGAAGTATAAGATTTCATCCAAAATCCTTCAAAATTCTCATTGCTAAGCGTCCAAATTTCAAAAAAATTGCCACAAACTTCATGAAAAAATGCTTTTTCAAACCTCATAATCATCGTCTTTACTGCTGGTCCACTCTCTTTCTATTTTGGTCTTGCGTTTGTGTTAATAGAAGATTGTAGTTGGGATTACTAACTCATTATATTTGACTACAAGTGCCTTTTTTCATTTCCTCTCCTCTCTATATTTAATTTTCGTTTCTGCCTTTCTTTTCGCTTTGCAGACGATTAGCCATTTCCATTTTCTCTTCGTTTTTGTGTCTTTTACTGTGTGAATTTCGTTCTTGCCTTTAATTCCTAAGAAGAAGCCCTACAAAGTAGTCTTTATGGAACATAAGTTTATCGACAGTTCTCGTCGAGTGGCGTATTTTCTTGGGATTATGTTTGAATTTTGATCTGTTGATGATGATAACTTCCGGTTGCTGTAACTATTGATGAGTAAGGGAGTTTATTCAGGATTATTTAGTTTTGATGATGGTTTGTAGGAGGATTGTTAAAGCTTTATGCTGAGTTTATTTATTTTTTGCATTATAATGATTTATTTTAGTTACTTTGGAAGTTCTTTTCATCACAAATTAAGTAAGTGGGTGTCTGCAAGCACTAAATACTGAAATTATTTTTGCTGCAACTAGTTGTTCCAGTTTTATCTACTGTTTTGAACCATCTGCAATCGGTCTGTTACCTTTGACTGTTAATTATTAAAGACAAAGCAAAACCTTCAAAAATAACGATCAATTCCAACTAGATAGTTCATATCATGTTCATACGTTACCCAAACTATTGTAAAATTTCTTAATATAATAATGGATAAATCATCATGAATAAAGCTCAGAACTTTATTATATTTTCATGATAAATTGATTGATCTACCAGAGTGTCTGAAATTATAAACCAATAGAATTGAATTGTAGACAATGATATTGATGTATTACGAAAATTGAGCTCACATCATCACTCTTTATTCTACTTGTGGATCAAATTTAACATTGTTCCTGTAATTATTGAATATCATTGATACAACTCCTGTAAGTGTTGCATCATATAGTGTGATGTTGGTGCAGATTGGAAACTAGTCATAGTCTAAAATGACAAGAGTAAGGCTTCTGTAGACGAAGTGGATAGGCAACATACTTGAATTCTGGAACCATCGCTGAAGTTCGATTCTCAACTAGAAGCCAACGTTTAAATGAGTAGACAGAATCTTGTCGATTTGATAAAGACATTATCCATCATCAAATGTGCTGCAATAGACCAAAATAATCGGACACGTCTAACTTTAATGAATCGATTGAGATTCTGTTCCGACTTTAAAGCCATCAATATTGAAATGCAAATCCAAATTTCGAATTTTTCTCATCCATAAAAACAAAACAAAAGTTCCTTAATCCATTTAAACTGGTTTCATATCCTTCACAGTAAGTTTCGCTCTTGCTGTGTGTTTTTATATAAATGTGAGCCATTTTTCATCTCCCGCACATTCAAACAGTGCTCTACTGAATGCTAATATTTCCCTTAAATGTGTCGTACTGTAATAATATTGTAGCGATAGTCGTAAAGAAAACTTTTGCTCTCATCCAACAACTTCTATGCATGATGATAAAAATGGAGAAAAATGTCCTCACAATGAAATTAATTATAGCAGATCCAAAAAAAAACGAGAAAAAACGACGCCTTTTTCCCTTCGCAGATGGAAGAAATTGATTTCTTTTTCTTTTCATTTCATCTCCATCCACTTCTTTAGAACAATAGGAATTGTTGTTATCATAATTCAATCTGATGGTGTTACAGATAACATCCAGCAAAGTAAATTGAAAAAAAAAGTCAATTTATTTTTAAAGGCTGGCTAAAAGAAATTAAAATGAAATTAAACATTATTAAATCGCTCTCAAACTGTGTTTGTGTATTGGTCGATTCCAATGTGGCATTTTCGCACTGAAACGAAAATAAATTAAATTTCATTTTGCCTTTGCTCACGGAAGGAGAAAATTCATGACTCATGAGGCATTATATTTATTGTATATTTTGAGAGAAAAAATAAGCGACGTAGAAAAGAGAATAATGGGATGTTTATTAATGACGTTTTTCACAAGTTCTGCACATTCTGCATTTTAAGATTTAAGAGAGTTAAGTTCTCCCTATTGGGATATGATAGTTTTGTCCCTGACAATGATAAGATTAAGATCATCAGACGCAGAAAGGAGGAACAGAAAAGTATGGAACTTAGATATCACATTTAACCATTTATTGGGATAACCCCTGATAGCTTAGTGGTAGAAGCATGCGACTGAAAAACGTTAGACGTGGGTTCGAGTCCCAATCGGGATCCGTTATTCGGACTTATTCTTCTTTGCGGTTTAACAACATTTATGGTTGCAATTCTGTTTGATTACCAACTTCTCACCATTGAATCAAATCTCTAGATAGTGCCAAATATACTATTCAGACCTGAATTTTGTTGAAGTTTCCATGCAGCTCATGAAAGCTAAAGAGCCCAAAATCAATTACGGTCATTTTCAAAAAAAACATTGGATTTTTCAGAATTTCTATTGTTCTTTTTTTGATGACCCCCCCCCCCCCCCCCCCTGAAAAACAAAAAAAGTTCCCGAAAAATCAAAATTCAGTGTAACATACGAGAGCTTATCAGCTGAAATGCTGATAGACTGCGCTAATAAAATGTTCTGTCTGGAGTCAACTTGAACTTTATTTCAAGATTCTAAGATCACTTACTGTCACAATTTGCTACTTTTGGAGACCAAACGTTCAAAGATGCGACTTTCATGTCACAAAGTACCAGGTCACTACTCTTTCAAGCCACTCTTACTCACAAAAGATTAGGGGTTCTATAAAATTGCAACTTCTAATGAACGTCACTCATAAACATCCCCAAAGAAATATTTAATTTTTTTTTTGGCAAAATGAATTGACAAAATTAAAAAGAAGAATTTACTTTTAAATGGATATTACTGTTGCCATGACGCGATGATTTTTTTCATGTTGCTGTAATTTTTAAGCAAAGAAACAACAACATCAGGTAAAATGTTACTATTGTTCAATTATTTAAAACGATGATTCTTAATACAACCACCGGAGGAGAAATTTTCATCTTTAAATTCTTTCCTTCCATTTCTTTCGATTCTTCTATCCACTCTCTTTCTGTTACGCGTAGTACGCGTGGGGGATAACAAATAAATTTTTGATAACGACGAAACTTTTCCTTCAAAGAAGGCAGAAACTTTATTAAAAAAAAATTGTGTGAGTACGAAAATCTCCCTAAATTCTTAATTCTCAGGGGCAATTTCTTTCCAGTTCTGATGATTGTATTGGTATGAAATTTATTTTTTATGATGAAGAAATAAAAAGAGAAGTAAGAACATAAAGCCACAGACAATGTTTTAACATCCAATGGATTCGGCTTCGAAGGTAAATTGTTGAGTCTGTATGTATATTTCATAATGTTGTGATTTTTCTTGCAGAACATCTCGCTTCTGCCTGTTGACTTTGACTTGCTTGGCCGTGAGGCTTTTGGAATTAAATTTGTTTACAGATTTGTCAATTAATTTTTTTGTGCTTTTATATCCTTGTTTATTTTTAATTATTCTCAGAAACTTGAACTTTTTGTTTAAAAGATAATTTGATTTATAACGGTTTTTTGAGATTTGAATGTATTTAATCCCAGTAAATTTCGCTGTTTCTCCCTTTAATTCAAGATTTAGGGCAAATCCACGAAAGCACTTTTTGTTAAAAAATATAAATTTTTGTAAAATTCTCCAAAACTGCTTGATTTGAATGGTTTTTTTAATTTTTATCTTATAAAGAATCCTAATTTGGATTATTTAAACATATTAAGAACTCCTAACATTACTTAATTAATGAGTTTTTTCAATTTTTATAGCGTTGCTTTGTCAACTTTATCAAAACTGAATTTCAAAGATATGTAATTTTTTATTTAAATAATCATTTTTTAGACATAAAAAGATACACGTATGATTTGCGCTTATTTTAGCTTTAATTTAGTGTTATTTTTTTTCGAATTAAGTGTATAATTAAAGAGAAAATTACGAAAAATAGCGTTGCTATGTCAACTTTTCAACTCTTTATTGCAAAACACGAAACTGTACAAAAATTCAAAATCAAAATTAACGTTAAAATTTGTAAAGAAATTTTCACCAACATTTGTCGTTGTTAAAAACTTTTTACGAAAAACTGTACGAACAAAGCCTACATAATTTAAAAAATAATTAACTTAAAGAACAATTTTAGAGATGTTATTCAAAATTTATTAGTTGGAATTTAGATTACATGTAGAAAAACTTAAGCATAAAAACATTAAAAGATACGAAATATTGTAGCACCATCACGATCTGATGAAACTGCTCCGAGGAGCAGATTTGACTCTAACGGCTCGAAAAAATGCAACGACTGTGTTCCTGGAATCACGTTCACTTTATCCCATCTGTTTCCAAGGAAAGATAATTCTGAATTCATTTCATTCTTCGTACCCAATATAATGTTAATTTTTTTTACAAAACTTCTTGCACAATCAACAAAGTCAGCTGCAGAATGAACTTCAAACAGTCCTGTCTTAATTCTGTTTGAGACCTGACGTTTCAAAATGCCTCCGATTCCATCGGCGGCACTTTTGCCGTGTGATGTGGGCATGAAATGCCATGTTGCATTTATGCCAAAATCAGATTTGATGTGAAGTAAATCAGTCAGGATAAATTTATTTTTGAACTGACTTGCACATCCATCAGTTACAAAATCAACGTGCGCTAAGTTTGGGTACAAATGCCTGACATTCTCTATTAAAAGTTTCATATAATACAAAACCTGGAATTTTGAATGCCTTATATCGTTATTTACTATTGCAAATGAAATGTTGACTGAATTCTGGACTGTTGCAATAGCCGTAAATAATGAAATTTGACGTCGGTTGAAATGGGCAGCTTGTATTTCTTTTTGGCTAAAGGTTGTAAAGTTCTCGCTATAGTCCATTTGGATAACAGCTTTTGTATGATCAGTTTCTTTTTTCAACGTAGAAATCGCACGATATTGGGCTTTGATTAAATACACATGCTGCTTGTAATACTTGAAAGTTTTTGCGAAAGCTTCAACAGCATCAGACAGTACCATTCCTCTCAATAGCTCTTTTTGATAAAAATTTCCATCCTTTACCCACTTAAACCACTTAATAGATTTATTATCACTGAATGGTATTAAGCATTGATCGAGCATTGATTCATAATCTTGACAATTATAACAAAGACTTGCAGCACATTCATAATCATCAGAACACGAAAACTTTCCTAAAAAATCCTTCAAATTTCCAATGTCTTCAAGCAGGAAAAAAGGTCGAAGGGCCATGTACAAAAAATTAAAATTTTCACAGTAGCAACATAAGCAAACATCTTTTGGTATTTCTGATATTAGCAGAATGTTTGGCGGTTTCAGTTGGTAGAACTTTGATCTGGATACATCAATTTCAGGATTTGTTTCTTTAAACTGTTCATAGGCTCTATCAACTGTCATCAACATTGACCTTTTTTGTAATACTTCTTTGATTCCACCATCTAATTTTACAGTAATTGTATCTTTCTTTCCAGGCATTTGACGTGAAATATCATCAGATTCATAGAAAACTTTCACAAGGTCAGAAGTCTGCTGAAAGTTCTTACGTCCATTTGTAGTCTTTGTTTCTGTCTTCCTTATCTTAACTTCCAAATCTAAATCTTGTGCAACGACTTTAATTGCCTCAACAGCTTTTTGTTTTGTTTTTGGAAGACTATTTTGGATCTTTTTAACAGCTTTCTTAAGTCCTTTCTGCGACTTAAAACCTACATCTGGACTATCGTCACCATATTTTAAATTGGACTTTTTTTCGTTCTTCTTTAACTTCCATCGTTTAGTAGCTTCACTTCTCTTTTTCTTGTATTCTGCTGCTTTTTCACCAAAAATCATATTTTCATGATAATTTTTCCAAGAATTATTTTGCTTTTGAATATGTTCATTAAGCTTTTCCTCATTTCCTATCAACTTCAAACGATCCCGATAGTTTTTAGACCTCTTTGTTGAACTTTTTTCCTTCATATCTATAATTATGTTTTTTGGATTATATTTCACAACGTTTTTCACTTCACTTTAAAGTATAAATCGTAATTAAAACATTTTTTTTCCCGAACTTACCTCCAAAATCGAAAGTTAAAGAAATTTTAAAAAAATTATTAGTAGATTATCAGAAATTTTTATTGACAAATTGAAGAAATTATAACGGTTTAAAAAAATTCAAATGAAAACAAGTAGAGAAAAATTGCAAGTCGTATTTTTATAGTTCCGTTTATTCGTGGATTTGCCCTTAATGTAATTGAATTTCAGTGCATTTACTGAATCTTTAACATCGAAATTATCTGAAAGTAAACTTCCTGCTGTACAGATCAATCCATAACTATAGCAATTTATTTTTCTAATCAGGAATAAGTTAATTTATAAGAACAAATGGGCGATTCTCCAGAAGAATTGAATTTTTCAAAAGTGAATTGTAATTCTTCTTTTACTTGACATTTCAAATTTGAGAAAACCGTTAAAAAATATCTATTTCAAACGATTTTTCTGGTTCTATGGTCAATTGTAGGTTGAAAATTTAATTTATATGCATTTTAATGATTATTATAAGATATAGTTTAGATCATTAACATTTTTGTGCCAAATAAACTACTGAAAGTTTTAAGATCTAACGGTTTTTATCAAATTTTAAATTTTTCGTTGAGCAGATTTTCCTCTATAAAGCGTTTGCGTTGCTCGGCAACATTAAATTTTGTTCTAAGAATCGATTTTTCTCTTAATTAAAGCATTAAATCAAAGATGTGTTATTTAAATATGATAAAACTAAAGACGATCTACCATTTAGTATGTATTAAGTGTAATAAAAATATTTCTTTGATAGTAATTTTTTGATTCTTCGTAATTGAATTCCATTTTTGGTTGCCGAGCAACTTTTAAAAAAATTTAAAAAACTAATGATTTAAGCTTAATTATGATTTCTGAATGACTTTAAGAGATAGAATTAGGAAAAATACATCTGTTTTAATTGAGAACAAACATGCTTTAGTGGGAAAATTTAAAGAAAAATCAATTTGAAAGTGATTTTTGGCTGATTTCCCCGCTGGAGAATCGCTCAAATAGCTAGTCATTTAGTGAAGATTTCAACAACCACAAATAAATCTTTTATCTTAAATCAGCTTTCTTCTCAATCTGTAGATCGACTTTCAGCCCTTCAGTCAATTTACTCTGAAGCTTCTCGATTTCTTCTTGTGAATTTCCAGTCTCAAGCTGCTTCATATAAGCCAAAAATAGTGTCCAAATAAACGACACACAAGCTACAAAAGGAACGCGATTTGATTCTTTCATAAATGCGTAATTAATGGTCTGAATAACAGGCCAGAAAACGATAGCTGCACCATATGTTTGTGGAAATTTATCAACAACTTCATGTCGTGCTTCTTTAAATGATTTTCCTTCCATTAAGCTCATAATTGAAAAGAATGAAACTGCAGCGAGTGGACTGTAGCTGAATTGTTCTACAACTGCTTTGGTGATTCCACTTTTGAATGACATACTTGCCCACATTTGAGATGATAAACGAATCCATCCATAAAGTAATGGTGCATCAAAAAAAGTCCCAAACAGCCAGAATCTAAAGACTTGTTTGTAATTGATTTTTTCCTTAGCTATCAATTGTTGAACTATAGAGCTTGTTGGCCAAATTATAGAGTAAACTGCCATTCCTTTTAGAATTGGATATGAACGGAACAATTTTGATACGTGCGATATCATCTTGACTTAATGAATGTTATTGACTGAATTTTTTTTTGATATCTAGAAATGCAATGCTTACTGCAATCAATTGAAATAAAATGAAAGAATTCAAAAAAAATTCTCATTTCCTAACATCCTCGAGCATAAATTCTCCTCACTCATCCATAAATTGCCATTTATTTCCATTTCATCGAAAGTGCCCCTACACACAAAGATCTTTCCATTCGTGACGATGAATTGATGTGAAATCATTGTAAAAAGCATTCTTGCGAGAGATTTCCATAAAATGAAACTTTTAGCATTTGTCGTGTATTTAACCCGTGGCTAGTCTCAAATATTCGCAAAATGTCATCATATTTTATACGAAATGGTTTCAAGTTTATCAATAAAAAAGTTCTCATTCATGCAAAATAATGTTCGCACGTTTTTTTCTGTTCTGTTCCTCTTTTAACGTGTAACGTGTAAGGATATAATAATGAATAAAAGAGGAAATGATTTGAGAGAATTTTTCGTATTGATAAAGCTTCCATGACAGTCATTTTTTATTGAATGTCTGATTGTATTACTTATTTTTTATATACACAAAGGTTAATCTCTTCCATCATCCATTCAATTTACGTTGAAAATGACGTTCATGTAATGTATAGACACTTCCCTAAAGTTATATGTCTTCCCACTTCAAATGATACTTTATATTCGATAATATGAAAATACATTAGCTCGTGAGAGGATCGAATGACACAAAAAATATACATCACATGCTTATTTGGGGCAAATATTCTTGAAATATATAATTACGTACATGTGCTTATGATTTCTCATGGCATTTAGATGAGAATTTGACAGGGTTGTTATCACTAGTATGAACTAATGTGTGATAGATTGGATAATGGGTTGCAACTCTGATTTAGAGACATAATAAGTTGATAATATGCATAGTTACTCAAGTGGCTAGTAGATCGAATAGTTAAGGACACAAGGTTAAAGTTAACAACATCCAGAAAAGCTTACAACTGAGTATATCAAGTTCAAATGAACATCCAGGCTTTGCAGTGCTTTATCCAATTTAAGTTGTGATTGATGCCTAACTTAGTTCAATTCAACATCCCATTAACCCCAGCAAAACTTCCAACAACTCTGAATTTTCACAATTTATTTTTCATATAAGAGACGAAATCATGAAAAAAAGGAACGAAAAATTCTTTTTCAAAGGCATTATCTTGCCATCATGAAAAAGTTCTACTTACGTAAGTGAAAGCATCATAAGATGTCTCATGATTATTTCTTCTTATGACTGGCAAGCGGAAATTACATGATGATAACATATTAAAATTTTGTGGGATGTTGTCACAGCATGGCTTTTTTTTCGAGTAATTTATATCGTGAATTTTATGTGAGTTGAGGAATACTTTTTTTTCCGGGGATGCTTTGTTCTTTGTGGATTCTAGAATTTAAGATGTCTATTAAGAATTTGCTCAAATTGCAAAGTTTAAAGTCCTATAAAAAGTTTTTGTGAAATGTTTTTTCGGCGGTTCTTTTCACGAAGCCTTAAAAATTTTGTGAATTAAATTGGAATGGAAATTTTTGAGAATCATGTGGGCGGAAAATTTAAGAAAAGTTTCATGAAAATCCTCAAAAAATTTATTTTTTGCTGTAATTAAGTTTGAAATTTAAAATACCAAGAAATTTGGTGATTGCGTCAAAAGACATTAAGAAATATTTTTGGTATGAGCATCTAAAATTAAGTTCAACCTTATCAATTGTAAATTATCGGTAATTAATCAACTTTGATGTGACTGTTGGCATGTAATTTGATGTTTTAGATAATATTGCAAATTAGTATGCAGCATATGGGATCAGAGTTGTCAAATTATTGTCTATTTTGCAAGATAATCTGTTGTATCATTGAACATGTGTATTAATTCTGAAAAGCAACAAAATATCAACATTCAACAACCCTGCACATGACATGATATGGTAGAATGCGTACATTGTCATTAAGAGCATCATTTTGGCATCAATTTCAAATCGCTTTCAGGGAAAAATGTCGTTCCTTTTATTTTTGGCTACTCTTGAGCCGTTTTGACAAATTATTCAAGGCATGAAATCTGTAGTTTTTTCGAACGGAGTGGAATTTCAGGTATCAAGCTATATCAAGACTAATTTGACTGTGCAAGAGAAAGGCCACTTTAGCCAAGTCATTGGGAAACATACCGTGAATTAGTAACGTTTTTTGTGCAGGACATTGGTTCGATTCTCAATAAAAAACTGACTTTGATTTCAATATGACAACAATTCGCATTTCGGACATTATAAAATTAAAAGCAACATAAAGTTAAGAGTACGGATTACAATATGCCATAAGCATTGCAATATTTCATGGATTTTTTCTAGCCTAGCAATTAGATTTTCCTGGTCTTAAAAGATTTAATTTAATAAGTTTCCAAAAATATGTTTCTTTCGTCTTTGTTCTTTGGAGCTTAAAAATTCTCAATTTTGATAAAATTGAAAGCATAAAATTTTCTGAATTTAATTCAGATTCTTATGAAATTCTCAAGATTGTAATGACTTAGGCAATAGCATTTGGCAACAGATATTCGAAAAAGTATCAGACAGTTCTAAGAAGAATTACAAAATAATTCTCAGACTCCACTACCTAGGGAGCTAATCCCAAATAAAAACAATATCAAATATCTAATTAGAAAACATAAAAGTCATCAATATAAAACCCAATCTTCAGCAAATTTGCAGCCAATTCAAATTTAATGCTAGAAACCAATTTACAAGCCATAAAAACAACGAGTTTAATCCAAAAAAAAATACACACAAATTTAAAATTCTAAAAGCTTCTCAGTTTCAATTTTTTATGGCATCAACCGCAAAATGATATCCTTTTAAAGCACATTTAAGAATCAAAAGACATAAAGATTTATCTACTTAATTATCTGATCACGTTGAAAAATCAAAACTGAATGCGTAAATGGGAATTTTTCTCGGTGTTTGACAAAAAGCACGTTCAAAAAATATTTTTTTTGGCTGCTGCTGTTCTATTCCATCGGGGACAAATGACTTTCTGTTTACTTTCTCTGACGTTTCTTTTCCTTTTTTCGTTCTGTGAATGACAAAAATAAACTCTTGATGTGTTTAAAGAAACAAAAGGAACGAACACAAAAAAGTATATAATTTTAAAGTAAACTGACACGCATGATGAAGTCTCTTTCGCGTACATAGAACCGTGAATATTCATCTTTTATGTCTGCATTTCACATTTAATGCGTTCTCAACTTTTACTTTTCATCATCATGTCTTCATAGAGATCATCTTGTTGATGTGAAAACATGCATGATGGCATGGTTCATGTACTTTTATATCCACCTCTCACACCCACACATTACGTCCTCAACTCTCATTGTTAAGTTGATGGAATGCTTATACTTGCAAAAAGACACATTCCATCGTAGTCGTGTTGCCATTTCTTCTTTCAATGTTGATGCTAACAATGACATCCCTTAAAATTTGTACAGCACTTAGTAAGGTGTACAAAAATTTAATTAAGGATTCATGTCTGTTTGGAAGTTTTTTCATTGTTTTTCATGCTTTTACATTAATTTAAGATCACAACAATATGGAGATAAGAATTTATGCGGTTTTGTGTATACAATGTACATCTTCTATTCAGGTAGAATCTTTTTTTATGCTTTTACTCATAGATGCAGAGTTGGAAAAGGAAGCTAGTTTGGATGTAGTTTGTAATTGTGGGCTATAGCGCTGTTGTTAGACGATCTGAGATAAAGAATAACCTCGAATGAGCTGATTCAAAAACAAAAAAAAAAATTGAACCGGTTCAAAAATTAAACTGATCGAACTGACTGAATTGATTTAAAAAGTTGAACTGATTGAACCGTTTCAAAATTGAATTGATTGAATCGGTTCAAAAATTGAACTGAATGAACCAGTTCAAAAATTGAACTGATTGAACCGGTTCAAAATTTATCAAACTTCAAACCTTTAAAAATATGACTCTGACTTATTTTGACTTCAAACTCCAGTTTCAGTTCACTGCCATCCAAACCGCATCTAACACTGTACCATACCTTTTAGATGAACCAATAAAATTATTAGAAACTTTTTGCCTCTCGTGCTGTTTTTAGACGCATAAAACTTTTTATAGCAATGAGAATGAAAAAAAAAAAAAAAATTCACTAAAAAGTTTCCTTCTGTTGCTTATTTTTAAATGATAATAGGAAGTAAAGGAATCTTTATTCGATGCGAATACTCATTAAAGAGCATCAACAAAAGGAAGCAAACGAGACATCCAACGAAGGAGCTTATAAACTTTCTTTCTTTGTTAAAAGATCTGAAATGATGAGGATAGGATTCCTTCAATTCTATCAAACGGAACTTTGCTTTATTTTAAGGATCTTTTTTCAATTTATTATTCACTTTGACTGATTGAGTGGATGTTTGAGGGTCTGGGTTGATCTGTAGGTGTTGAAGGTTGATATTAAAAAATTTCTGATGAATTAAAGATTTTAGGACAAAAATGAGATCAAAGACTATTAAAAATGTTATGAAAAAAGATCTAAGAACCTTCAATTCATCCAGTATAATAAAACTTGCTAATCCAGGTCAGATGAAAATTGCAAGCAACCAAAACGCGCTTTAGATTTAATAAATAATATGAAAATAATAATTTCCTATCAAACTTCATCTTTCACTGAGAATCAGTGCAAGGAAAAAAAATTAATTTTGAATCGCTACCTTATTAAAAATTGTTATGGTACTCTTGCACAAGAAAAACTTTTCATCAGTTATAATATTATTATTGGGATATTGATAAAATGAAAGCACAACGAAAACTTTTTATTTTATATCTCCACAGAAGAAAAAAATGAGCGGCGGTGAGCATACTGAATTTATTATACCGAGAAATTTTTTCTTGCGAAAGAGCAAAAGGCGTTTAATCTCATAACTCATTGAATCATTATCCTCCGTTGCAGTTCTAATGCATAAAAAATCAGCTAT